GCCAGGGACTCAAATCCTGCAGTGCCAGACGTGTCCCCTTGCTTAAGCCAGTACATGTCCAGGCCCGTCTGAAGTTTGCTAGAGAGCATTTGGATGATCCAGAAGAGGATTGGGAGAATGTCATATGGTCAGATGAAACCAAAATAGAACTTTTTGGTAAAAACTCAACTTGTCATGTTTGGAGGAGAAAGAATGCCGAGTTGCATCCAAAGAACACCATACCTACTGTGCAGCATGGGGGTGGAAACATCATGCTTTGGGGCTGTTTTTCTGCAAAGGGACCAGAACGACTGATCCGTGTAAACGAAAGAATGAATGGGGCCTATGGTATACCTATGATGAAAATTACAGGCCTCTCTCATCTTTTTAAGTGGGAGAACTTGCACAATTGGTGGCTGACTAAATACTTTTTTTCCCCACTGTAACTGGAGGATTTCTTTGCATTGTTGTCGGCCACCCTCCTTGATAAAAGATGCAAATACCACAAATTTCAATAACATCGACTTGCTTATGCATTGGGGTCATCTCAAATAAACTCCTGCATCCCTGTGCATGTCGTACAGAAAAGTTTAACTACACTTATTTGTGCTGCATCGTATTAATTAATATATTAATACATTTACTTGGTATTTATCTAAATTGAATCTGGTATTGAATTTCTTGACATGGGATTTTAATACACAAAACATCCAAATAAACAAGGTTTTACATTTTCAGAAGCTAATGTGAGGTACCATGATGCTAGGGTGTTGCCATGACATGAGGACTCTCAAGGATATATGAGAGGATGTTAGACTATTTCTATGCAGTTGCTATGGTGGTCTAGGTGACTGCTTACTAGTCCAAGTTCATCCATAAGTGCCTATGATATTCTAGTCTTTAGATACAACTCCAGTTCCATTTTTAATCCTGGTCTATCATATTTTTTTTTTTTTTGCCCGTTTTTTTGCTGCCAGACAAAATTAGCAAATTTGTTGGCTTAGAAAAGTAATAGCACAGCTCTCCTCAAAAAGCTGCAGGATTTGAGCAGTCATTTATGTCTGTCATTATATGTGTGGGTTAAAGGTACACTACACCCAACAATAAACAATCTCTCATCATGTATTCACCCAGATGCACATGACCTTCTGTCTTCTGTGGAACCAACTGAGTGTTTTCTTTTCTTTTTTTCTAAACCATTGCTTCTAGCCAACTGTCATACAAGTTCACACTCGACATAAACATCCCACGTGAAACTCACACAAAAAGTGACGCCATCTGTGTTTCGGCATCACTTCTCGTGAGTTTCACAATGTGTTCATGGCACGCTTTACAATGTTCTGAAGGAAGAAATGTTTGAAAAACTTTAAGTTAATAGTATTTTCACACATACCTATTGTTTCGCTTCAGTTTCATCAACTGGAGTTGTATGGATTATCGTTTGTTTTGCATGGTTGTTGAAACATCTACTTTGAGGGTCCCATTCACTTGAATTACATGGATTAATAGTTTTTTTCCCCCTACAATTCTCTGTGTTCCACAGAAGAAAGAAAGTCTTATACATCTGGGATGATGAGAGATTTTTCATTTTTGGGTGGAGTATCCCTTTAAGGGTTTGTTTTGAATTCCTAACCACATGTATAAGTAGTGCTGGGCGGTATGACCAAAAATTTATATCACAGTATTTTTCAAAATTATACCGGTTTCACGGTACATGACGGTATTTTTTTTTTCATGCATGACCGCGTGTTAACCATATTTTCTACTGATTGAGAGAGGAAATACTGCAGTATATTGACTTAGAATGCCCTATTTTACTGTCATGATGAGTGAATATTGTAAAAAAAAAATACCACACTAAATAGTGACTAAACACAACCCCTTTTAATACACGTTAACCAGGAGTCACTCTCATTTATAATCGCGGCATCGTCTGATAAAATCAACATGCATCTACACTAAAGAGTGGCTATGCGGTTGTTTTGGCTATATAACTTTTTTATCTCATGCAGCGCACTGCCTGAGTCTGAGTAACAAACAAAAAAAACAACGAACACAAAAGTGCATGTGATATTAACAGACGAACTACGCTCATATTTATAATTCCAAACAGTCAGTAAGCGACAGGTGCTAGGAAACGCCGGTTTGTACTCATTTATTGACGAGTCGGCTGCGGTGCGGCCAACTGAATGCACTGCTTCTCTGCCGCTCACTGCACAGAACAGACGCCGAGAGGCCAACTGAACCACAGCTAAGGTTTATTCAAAAAAGTCGCTAGGTTTGTCAGTATGAATATTCTATGGAAAAATGCCGCTAAAAGGGTCTGAAAGTCGCTAAATTTAGTGCTAAAGTCGCGCTCGTGTGTGTGAGACGCGGGAGCTGATGGCAGGGGGCGGTGGATATTTGTGGCGGTCAATGTGGATATTATGGATGAGTTCTTCTGTGTCATCACGTTCTATTAGTTCTACAGCTTCAGTTTCGGAACTTTCACGCTTAGTAACACATACAGCTGTTCCCTCACCACAGTGCAACAGTGACCACTTTCAAACAGTGTCGAGTTCCAAACGTTGTTTAAGCGACATACACTTATTGTGGTATTTTCAAAATGAATGAACCGGTATACCGCCCAGCACGATGTATAAGCAATACTATTAGTGATGCTTGCTTTAGTAAACACTACTAATTAAACCAACAGTGCGAAACAAAAGACTCATGGAGACTAACATTAACATTATTAACATAACAGTTATGTAAAGTTGCACTTGGAAAACAACAATTCTTCTGCGAACAAAGGTTGATGACACCTGTCTATTCAGCAGCAGCAGGGACAGGAATTGTCCTGTCCTTTCTAAAACGATACATATGTTTGTGAAATTACACAACTTACCTTAAAAGCATTGTATCTGTCGTCCATGGCATGTTTGATCATGAGGTTCTTGAGTGCAGCCACAGCCAGCTGTCTGATCTCTGGGCAGCCCTGGAGTCCATCGGCAACCTCTCGCAGAAGCAGACCCACCAGGAAATGGTTTTTGCAATAATCCTCGGTCAGGCTGTACTCCAAACTCTGATCTGAAACACATCATTTCAGGGTCAGCAATGTTCCACACCAGCATTTACAGTATTATGAACGTTTTTGCAATCTGTGTGGCCTTTTATTAAAAAGTAAGAAGCAACACTTTTATTTCATGCATCCTAAAGACGCAATACTTTTAAAGATGCATATATGCAAATGGTGCTTAACATACAGGTGTAACAGGTAACGCTCCTGCGTTAAGTCACTGACATCTGTGATAGTGAAAGGCATCCAAATGAAAAGACAGTGTCTAGGGTTTGATGGCTGACAACTTTCAAATGCTTTTAGGAAAGCAGACTTCACTGCATTCCAGACATCAAACAACGACAGAAACAGAAACCAAAGAGTGACAGAAAAACCTTGTGCTTAAAGTGAAAGCATCTTTTTTGTTATTGAAAATAGGCCATGCAATTATAAATAGCCTTCTTTAGCAATAATACCAAAATCTTGATGACAAGATTTATCCTCTAATGACAAGAAGCTGTTCACGTACAATTTAAAATTCTGTCAATTTTTACTCACCCTCAAGTTGCTTTAGACATGCATGCTGTTATTCATTCCGTGGAACACAAAAGGAGAATGTTTGAAGAATCTTCACACAGTGATATGTGGGTCAGTGAACAAACCATTCTTTTGAGCAGGTTCTTTTTAAACTGGACTAAATGAATTCAATTCACTGATTTCATGATTAAGCGAAGAGGAAGATTTTAAGTCTGTTCCTCACACAAAGATGTTGTATGGCTTTAAAAGACTTATATTACATACACTACTATTCAAAAGTTTAAAAAAACAAAACAAAATGATGGTAAAGACATTTATAATGTTTGCAAAAGATTTCTATTTCAAATAAATGTTTGAAATACTGAAAATGTATTATACAAATAATGTTTTCAACATTGATATAATTTTTTTTTTAATTCTTGAGAAGCAAATCAACATATTAGAATGCTTTCTGAAGGATCATGTGACCCTGAAGACTGGAGTAATGATGCTGAAAATTCAGGTTTGTCATCACATGGATAAATTATATTTCAAAATATATTAAAATAGAAAACAGTTATTTTAAATTGTAATAATATTTGGCAATATTACAGTTTTTACTGTATCTACGATCAAATAAAAGCAACCTTGGTGAGTATTAGAGCCTTCTTTTGAATCCTTACATTTTTGAATAGTAGTGTTTGTCTACAGCGTCAGTTTTGGAGTTTTAGTCACTGTGAACCCTTAATGAATGGAAAAATGCTACTTAAATGCTTATTTTTTGTTCCACAAAAGAAAGGAATGGAAAAACATGAAGGCGAGTAAATGATGAAAAGTTTTTCATTTTCGGCTGAACAATCTCTTTTAAGATCTTTTGTACTCTCTGTATTCAGAATTGAAAACAGAACAGCCACATTTCCTCACATTTTCGTATTATAATAGTAATAAAAACCAGATTACAACAAGTGCACACAAGATGTTTCCGCACTCATTCTGCATGTGTAGTATTACACAGTTAAAAAGGGCAAGTGCAGACAGGACAAGACAGACAACTTCATTACAGCAACAAACATCTCAGGCAGCAGGAAAACACTGCCCTTTTAATTTCTGTGGTGTAAAATCATCTAAAAAATCCTGTCACAATACACATTTAGTCATTGAATTTCATCAGAGCAAAGCAAATATGTTATGCTTGGTTACAGAAAAAGCAAAGGCCTCAACCTGAAGCGTCAAATGCAGTTAGACAGTGATTGATGAATGATGCTGGAGCACAGCAAGGCAATTAGTGGGGTTATCAGGACGATTATCTGGTGAAAATGCTACTTAAATGCTTATTTTTTGTTCCACACAAGAAAGGAATGGAAAAACATGAAGGCGAGTAAATGATGAAAAGTTTTTCATTTTCGGCTGAACAATCTCTTTTAAGATCTTTTGTACTCTCTGTATTCAGAATTGAAAACAGAACAGCCACATTTCCTCACATTTTCGTATTATAATAGTAATAAAAACCAGATTACAACAAGTGCACACAAGGTGTTTCCGCACTCATTCTGCATGTGTAGTATTACACAGTTAAAAAGGGCAAGTGCAGACAGGACAAGACAGACAACTTCATTACAGCAACAAACATCTCAGGCAGCAGGAAAACACTGCCCTTTTAATTTCTGTGGTGTAAAATCATCTAAAAAATCCTGTCACAATACACATTTAGTCATTGAATTTCATCAGAGCAAAGCAAATATGTTATGCTTGGTTACAGAAAAAGCAAAGGCCTCAACCTGAAGCGTCAAATGCAGTTAGACAGTGATTGATGAATGATGCTGGAGCACAGCAAGGCAATTAGTGGGGTTATCAGGACGATTATCTGGTGACTGGAAGTGCGTTTGCGTCGGCATTGGTCGGCATCACCTACCTACGACACCAAAACACTCCGCCGCATACGAAATAAAATCTGAAATAATGAATAAAGGAAGCAATCATGCAGGATTGCCATTATCAGTGGTGGAAGTGAAGCTGTGAAGGTGTGCGGCTGTGTTTGAAATGGAATAGTGCTCACTAATGAATACTGCACACAGTATATAGTACATACTTCCTTTCATTTGTTTATTTATTGATTTTTAAATGGACTTTAAATGGTTAATTATGCATTACGTAATGATAAACATTTCAAAGAACAGTATGCTACATTGATGCACATTTAATTCAGCGAATTAAACTATAATTTAAAAAAAATAAATTAATGCTATTATTTAGTAAGGATGCATTAAATTGATCAAAAGTGACAGTAAAGACATTTATAATGTTGCAAAAGATTTCGATTTTAAATAAATGCTGTTCATTTTAACTTTCTGTACGTCAAAGAATCCTGATAAAATTGTATAATGATTTCCACAAAAATATAACAAAAACTATTTACAACATTGATAATAATAAGAAATTTTGCGAGCAGAAAATCAACATATTAGAATGATTTCTGAAGGATCATGTGATGCTGAAGACTAGAGTAATGATGCTGAAAATTCATCACAGGAATAAATTACAATACATTTTAAAACATAATAAAATACCATTTAAGGTAACGGTTTTCTAATAATATTTCGCAGTATCACTGTAGTCTTCCTGCAGTTTTGATCAACTTTTGAAAGGTGTGTATAATTTAAATATGTTTTTGTGTATGTTTCTTTGTGTGAATATGCATATTAGTTTCAAAAACTACAGGAAAATCAGTTAATGTATTTTTCCTCCATGTTTTTTGACTACATCAAAGCCAAATGCAATGATTGATTGAGAATAATGTCATCTCTGATTGATCAATGATATGCATCAGCTGTGAAACGTTTATCTTTTGTGGTTTGTGCCACTAGAAACTAGGCTTTGTCATAAAGAGGCAGAACTCATCAGGGAGCGTCTGACACCTGCAGCATTTCTCCCATTGAAAATTAACTGGGAACTGCTGCAAATTCAGCTTTGCCATCACAGGAATTAATTACATTTTGAAATATATTAACACAGAAATCAGTTATTTCAAATTGTAATATTACTTCACTATATTACCGTTTTTACAGTATTTCTAATCAAATAAATCCTGCATTGCTGAGCATTCAAAAACATAACTGATCCCAAACTTTGGAAAGGAAGTGTACATACTGTGCACAGTACACATAATTGACACTGCACATATGAGTAGTATGGTAGTATGCTAATCCTGTGCCTCAATGAAAAAAATGAGAGGTCATATTGTCTGACCTTCATTTGAACTGTTTATGCTCAGACACTTATCCATGCTGATTGACTGAACGTTTTAGTAAAAGGAGAGTGTTTTATTTATTTTTTTGAAATGGTGAAACTGATAAACTCATGACAGTCATTACGTGTTACATGTGTTATAACTGAACTTGTTAAATCCAGTGTTTAGGGGATATTCTGATTCGTGCCAAAATTATATGTTAAGCTTGAGTGCCATCACGCCCCATTTCGTGACACTTAAGTCCCTGTGTGGCTGGTTTTCAGGTTCAAGTTACATGGCATAATGAATGGTGCAGCTAGCAGATCTTAAAGTGGTGAAGTTTTAGACTGGGATGGAGGGGAGGATGGGGGCAAGGAAAGCCATGGCAAGGTGGGTGGAGGGTGGAGAGACCTACCTTGGACTCGCTGCAACTTGGTTCGGCCGAACGCCATGGGCAGATTTAGAGGAATGTAGTGCTCGTGGTTGCACACCGTCATGAGGAAATCAAACTTCATCTCTGTAAGTGCCTGCAAACATTGCGTAAAAAAAAGTGAGTGCGATGCTGGAGAAGCTGGATTGCGGGTCATTACAACATTGCAATGTACAGTATGAAAAAGTGATGTTTATTTTGAGATTTGAAGATGATTACATTTTACAGTGTTATTAAATTATTATAATTAGTTTTTTAAAATGTCTTAAGGTCAGCTAAGGTCATCTAAATGTAAGTATAGGTCGAAACAAGCATACACAATTAAATATCCAATATCAAGTGATATTGACAGATATAAGATAGAACTGTTATATTCTAAATCCCTAATGTTATAATTTAATAACCCTAATTTTTACAGTGCATAATGTTCAAAATTCATTGATAACTGTAATACTCGTATGTTTAAAAAAAAATAAAAAATCATCAACCATTTTCTGAAATTCATAGAATTCAAACAATCGTGGCCAAAAAAAAACAAAAAACAAAACTCAAACTGCTTCAGAAAATCAGGTTTTATGAAAAGCACTACAAATAAATTAATTGAACAGTTTTAAAATCTAGATTTTGTAAACACAAATATACTGTAGTGTTGATTTATTGTTTAGCATAATTTCCACTGATATATGAGTTTTTTTTCAGATATTCAGTACTATTGAAAATACAGAATTTGCACCCTTTCAAAGCATGTGTATTCTCGACAGGCTGTGGCACATAGAATTGGCAAGAAAAAAATGAGTCATGCATGATATGATAAAATATTCCACAATAAAACTCTGTGATACCAACAGCACAGAAGATGAGAACAGAGAAGCTATTCCACATTCCACTATGAGTCACACCCATTATCTGGATGTATGTTATGAAAGACCTCACAGAGAAGTGAATCTCTGAAGAATCAGAACATAAAGAAAAAAAATCATGTTGTATTGTTTGATGAAAGAGAAATTAAAAACACTGAAAGCATTGTTAGGAATAATGTACCTGTCAAAGCAAACGGGTCACTTCTCAATAAAGTATTAGTAGAATAAATAAGTTAAATATTGTTAAAATTAATTAAAACAGTGTTTATTTAATTTGATATGGTTGAGTTGTGTGAACAAAAGTAAAATCATTGTTTTTTACAGCAGAATTTAATTATGACTAGTGCTGTCAAAATTAGCATGTTTAATTTTTTTAGTTTAACGCGTTAAAAGTATTTAACGCATTAAAAGTATTTAACGCCGTTAATGCAGGGGCAGAGCTAGGGTTGGCCACCCCACTCACAACTGCTACTTCTGTCTCTTTTTTTTTTTGACAAAAGTTGTGTTTATTTAGACACAGAACATCTTTACGGCCACATCAAATGGGAGACTTTTCATACACGCACTCCAACTTCACCTCAGCGCCAGGCGCTAGACAAACAAGTGCGGAAACGGTACAGGTGATGAGGGAGCTTCAGTAGAACAACAGTGAACTTATGTCAGTAAAAACCATTTTTCCCGTCCTGTCAGACGTTATACTGTGCTCATAGCACGTGCTCTTCAATAGCACGCACAAATGCAGCACGCTGTAGCCTGTAACATTTAATATTAGTTATGTCGTCAGTTAAGTCATGAAGTTACCAAAAAGGCGATTAATGTTGCCTTAAAACTGTGCATGCATGTAATTATTTATTATATATGAGTCACATTTCAGAACATATCTCTGAAATGAAGTGGTTTTCAAAACTGTCCTGGAGCAGCCCAGCACTGTCTCCCTCATCTAACACCCCGATTCAACCGGTCTGCATTAGCAGACTTCAGACTTTAAGTCCTGAAGTGGGTCAGAAAATATAAAGAGTTGTGAGAAAACACAATGCGTGTCAGATCCGCGTCATGTTCAGCAGCGGCAGTTCTTAAAGTGATAGCAGCCAAAATAACCTGATAACCCAGCTGCTGAGATGTCTGTTCCTAACATTTGTAGTTTCAGGATTCATCTATATTTAATTTAGAATTTAGTGTTTGATAACTTTTTCAATTTCTGTATTTTTCCTACTAGCTGAAGGGCACAGGTTGCTAAATATGACATTTGTTTTAATGGGTTCATGTGAGGATTAAGTTTACTTAAATTAGAAATTGTAATTTTTTAAAGTCTAATAAATGTTAAAATTGATAGATCTCAATTATACTGTAGTGTTGAATGGCTATAGTCAATGGTTAAAGGGATAGTTAAAGGGATAGTTCTTTAAGGGATAGTTTTTTAAATATAACTCTGATTGGATTCGTCTGAAAGAAGAAGGTCATATACACCTAGGATGGCTTGAGAGTGAGTAAATTTTTGGGCGAACCATCATTTTAAGTATTGGGGGGGGGGGTTTTAATCAATTGACACCACTAATTATGACACTGTTGTTACCTTGAAGTGGTACCAACAGGTTGATTCGATCCAAAAAACAAACAAACAAAAAAAAACATTTAGTCATTTACCAATTAATAACCCACTAAATAAATGCAAGTAGCATTGCTTTGACCATGTAATGTATTGTTTTGCCTACCTTTGGATCTTTCAGGCTGTAGCCACACATGTAGTCATTTATCAAACTGAAAGCAAATCCTCGGTTCATGAACGTAAGGCAGCGCTGTGAAGGGGGAGAGTTTCAGTCAGAACAATGTAATGACTTAAAATGAGTCCATGTGAACAACAAATAAATAAAATTAATGAAAGATTCAGTAGTGACCACTGGTACCAGAAAAACTACAAAAACATTTACATCACAACACACTGGTGACCAAGTCCAAATGTTGAAACACACTTCAAATAATAGCTATTGTTAGATAATATTGCTGTGATTTTCCTGTACTTTATGCAACTGCTATACATATTTACACAACCTTTCTTAAGTTTGAGGTCAGTGAGATTTTTTAAATGCCCACTTATTTGATCAAAACTGCAGAAAAACATTGATATTGTGAAATATTAACAGAAGAATATTTTAATATTTAAAAATTTTACATTTATTCCTATGATGAATTTTCAGCAGCCATTTACTCCAGTCTTCAGTGTCACATGATTCTTCAGAAATCATTTTAATATGCTGATTTGCTGCTCTAGAAGCATTTCTTCTTATTATCAATGTTGAAAACAGTTGTGCTGCTTAATATTTTTGGGGAAACTATGACATATTTTTCTCAGGGATCTTTGATGAACCGAAAGTACAAATGAACTGCATTTCTTTTAAAAAAAAAATCTAATCTTTTGTAACATTATAAATGTCTTTACTGTTGTTTTTAATCAATGTAATGCATCCTTGCTGAAAAAAAGTGTTAATTTCTTATTAATAAAATAAAAGTATTGAAAAAAAAACCTTACTGACCCCAAACTTTTGTCATTTAAAACTTTAAGGAAATTTTAAAACATTAGGCATAACCTAAATGCTTTAAGTTAGATCACATGATCCTTCAGAAATCAATTGTCATTGAGGCATTAAAGAGTTAAGCCTGACCTTAAATAATAAGCCTGATCTTACTCAAATACTACAGCTCTAGGCCTGACCTTGATGAAGCAGGCCAGGCTAAAGTTGACGCAGCGGGCCTCCTCTGGGATCTCCACATAGCGTATAGTGATGTGAGGCATGATCGACAACAACAGGGACTGCAGTGCTTGGTGGAATGATTCTGGAAACCTCTGCGCTCGAGGCATCTGAAGGAAATGTTTCACATTATTAACTGTCACATAGCTATGCTATGAATACTACATAGTTTCAGTGGGTATAGGAAAGAGTCATTTGTAAGTAAAGTAGGATTTTATCTGATTTCATTTCAGCTATCAATGCCCCAGAATGATATTCTAACCAGACGGAAGTCCAATTTTAACAACTGAGAAAACAGTTTTCTTGAGTGTCATGCAATCTACTGTGCTGGAGGCATGTTTGAACAACAGACTTTATACACCGGCCTTTAAATGACATGAGTCAGGGTTTCAGTTATGCAAACAGGATCCATTGGCATGTCAAATAGGTCTATACATGTTTGAAACGGGCTGACAGAAAGTTGAAACTGTTAAACACACACTGTACATGCAAAAGACAACTCTGTGTCAACAGTACAGTACAGCGCAGCTCGTGTTCCTTGTTTATGAGTTTGAAGGGCGTTTCTTCAGATACCTTGATCATGCAAACTTTTGAAGAATGAGGAAGTTAACCGCATTCTATGTACAAATGCCAAAAGTGGAAAACAACATCCTGCTCGACAGCCCAGGATTATTTACATCCAGCTACTTTTTATTGTGTTTTACTGAAGATGATGACTAAGAAAAGGAAGTGGAAAGGAAAGCCCTATACACTCTGCTTAGATAACAAATGGCCGTTAATTGATATTAATCTAAAGTGTCTTTGATATTACTTTAAAGTGTCAAATCTGTGAATAGATTATACTAACTTTCATTCTGTTACCATCCTGGAGGTATTGTGCCATTGACTTGGCCATGGTCTCAAAGAAGAACCAGGAATACTGTAATATAAGACAAAAAGAAAAAGGACTTGATACAATAATACAGATGAATGTCGTAAATATGTGCCAATACATAAACAGTTTAAATATTTGCAGATACCACAAACCATATTACACATTACTGTTCAAAAGATTGAGGTCAGTAAAAACAGTAATATTGTGGAATTTCTAAAATATTTAAATGAAATTGTATTTTCTTTTATTTAAAATAAATTATTCTATTTTAATAAAATGTCATTTAATCTAGTTATGCCAAAGCTGAAATTTTCATCAGGCATTACTTCAGTCGTCAGTGTCACATGATACTTATATCTAATATGCTTATTTGGTGCTTAAGAAACAAAAGAGCAGCATTTATTTGAAATATAATTATTTTGTAACATTATAAATGTCTTTACTGTCACTTTTGATTAATTTAATGGATCCTTGCTGAATAAAAGCATTAATGTCATACAGAAAATAAAAAAATACTTCATGATCCCAAAATTTTGAACAGTAGTGTAACATGAAATCTAATTCATATTAATATAATGTTTATAATAATATTAATGTATACCCTTTCATATCACAGGAATGTTCTGAATGTGTGCCAATATAAAAAAAATCTTAAATATACACATAACTGTATACAATACCACAACATAATCACGAAAGTAAAGCAAAGTGAAAGTTGCATTGCAGAAACAATGGACTTATTATTCTACCACAATACGATGTGATCTCTGACCCCAGCAAATGTCAAACCAGTTTTCGGTTATCTCATTCTGTAAAAGCGAATTCCCTCAAACCTAGTTCCAAGAAAGCACTGAGAACTGAATTCCAAGAAAATGTGTCCTTGTGGACATGGTTACGTAACAAGACTTTACGGAGATGCCGAGTCTATATGAGACGAGGTCGGTACATTGATTTGAATACACTGAGGAAGGTCCAGTGGCACTGAATAAAAGAAACTGGTGCATATTATTTGGGTGTCAATGGTCATATCATGATCTATTTTTTGGAACAACAAACCAATTCCTCTTAACTTACTCGGACAATAAACCACAATTCTGAAGTGAATCAAAAGGATAGAAAATAAACACAACAGTGACATCTGCTGTGCAAATTGAGTAGATCATATTCACAATAACTGAACAGTTTTGTCACCTTGAGGAGTTTGTTGCAGGTGTTGAAGTCTGCAGTTTGTTTGAGGATGACAGTCACTGCTGTAGCCAAAACTTGATGTGTCGTCACCGAGTTTTCTGAAGTTGCGTTGTTGATCCGAAACACGTACTGCAAAATAAAACATTGATTTTTACTTTTTTTTTTATAAAACAAACAAATCAAAAGAGTACACATTTTATTTATAAAAAGAAAAGCTCTTCTTGGTAACCAAAGTTCTTCTGTCACATTACAAATACAAGAAAGCTTGTTACACATGCAAATGTTTACATTTCTGATGACTTTAATCAATATTTTTGTGACCGGATTAATAAAAATAACTTCAGTGTTTTTACTTTAACTAGTACTTTATAACTTCGGTTTCATCAAACTCACATTTGTGAGTCATCCATTATAGTATTGTGAGCATACATTATAGTTCATTCATGGTAAGGATAACAGGGAGATATAATGTTGTACCTTCAGAAAAGAGCGCAAGTAGTGCTCCAGTCCCTCCTCGTGACACTGAGACACTATGTGAATGATTACCCTGAGACAAACAGAGGCACTCTGGTAACGTAGCAATCCTATACACTTTAAACCATACAAAATGATTAAATAAGGAAATTTTGCATTCATAGGCTACTCTGCATACAAAACAGTAATACGGAAGCTTGTGTCTTTCTGAGAAGACAAATGAAGTGGTAAGTCACCGTGTGGAGTTGACAGCAATATCTCGACTCTCTTTGCTTGCCATCGTGAGGATCTCAAAGAGCTGAACGAGCACCGTAGGCAGAAACTTGATGCTGACCTGAGTCTCTACTGCATGTAGGCACTTGGAAATGAAACAGGAAATGAAAAGGATTCATGTAACACTGAAGACTGGAGCAATGGCTGCTGAAAATTCAGATTTGCCATCAGAGAAATAAAGAGCAATTTATAATATGTGACTCTAGACCACAAAACCAGTCATAAGGGTACATTTTTGTGAAATTTAGATTTATACATTATCTGAAAGCTGAATAAATAAGCTTTCCATTGATGTATGGTTTGTTAGGACAGGACAATATTTGGCCGAGATACCCATTATAAATCTGGAATCTGAGGGTGCACAAAAATCTAAATACTGAGAAAATCGCCTTTAAAGTTGTCCAAATGCAGTTATTAGATTGCATATTACTAATCAAAAATTAAGTTTTGATATATTTACGGTAAGAAATTTACAAAATATCTTCATGGAACATGATATTTACTTAATATCCTAATGATTTTTGGCATCAAAGAAAAATCTATAATTTTGACCCATACAATGTTTTTTTGGCTATTGCTACAAATATACCCCAGTGACTTAAGACTGGTTTTGTGCTCCAGGGTCACATATATTCAAATAGAAACTGTTATTTTAAAAATGTAATAATATTTCACAATATTACTGTTTTAACTGTATTTTTGATCAAACATATGCAACCATAGTGAGCAAGACACTTCTTTCAAAAAATATTACGTTTTTAAACAGTAGTGTACAATATGTGCTCCAAAGAAAAGCTCAGCAAAATCAAGAGCGAGGTTCAACATAAATCAAATAAAGTCCTCTGTTTAGAGAAAAAAAATGTTAAGAAGCACATAACATTGTGTAGTTTTATACACCTCAAATTTTGTAATATTGTTTAACTTAAATTAACATTTTCCTTTGTTCACATGTAATTCTCACCTTTAGGTACTTGACGAGTTCAGCGGGATTGCCCTGTGATGTTGACCTCATCAGCTGGCAATACTGGAAGAAATTGTGGAGGTGCAAATCCTGGATGGATGAGAGTTACTAGATAAATGTTTTTATTTTACAGAACACGTCATTGTTCTCTGTTCAGTGCAATGGAAAGTGGCTGAACCATCCTTAGTTCAGATCAACATACCTGAGTGTAAATTGTTGATGCTACATACGCTCGGACTTTAAATAATGGTTTGGCATTCTCCACCCATTTGATGTCTGGGGAAGACTGCAAAAAAAAAAAAAGTGAATCAATCAATTCAAGTAGCCAAACCATCAATGAACAAATGAACCAACCAATCAACAACCCAACCAACAAACAATGAATTTTTAGAGTTAGTGTTGCTGAAAGGAAGATTTTACCTTTTTTGAGTCTTGTCCTTTGTCATACATGTACCCAGCTGGTAGATTAGCAGACACAGGAAGCTGTAGTTCTGAGGACTGTATTCTGCCATCCTTCAATAAAGGAGTCCAGGAATAACCCACTGTAGAGAACGAGAGTTAAAGGTATATTCCTCACACACACACACCAACATTCTACTGTGTGCAGTCTCTTATACACATTAAGGCATTTATTAATAATATTGTGAAATATTATTATAACTTAAAATAACTGTTTTATATTTTAACAAAGCTGAATTTTCAGTCTTTAGTGTCTCATGATGTTTCAGAAATTATTATGCTGTAATATGCTGATTTGCTGAAACATTTCTCATTATTCTCAATGCTGGAAACAGTTGTGCTGCTCATTATTTTTGTGGAAACCATGACCATTTTTGAAAGATTCTTGGATGAATAGACAGTTCAAAAGAATCGTTCATTTGAAATATAAATCTTTGTAACCTTATAAATGTCTTTACTATTACGTTTGATCAATTGAATGTGTCCTTGATGAAAAAAATTATTAATTAAAAAAATCTTACTGAGCATAAACGTTGGAACGGTAGTGTATACAATACACAAGCACACACTCACCCAGTGTTTCCACTCCATCCCGTTTCTTGGTGGTGGTTTTGTTGCCAACCTCACAGCTTATATGGTAGAAAGTAAATAGAATGTGATGCTTCTCATGGACATGAACAGGAAGCTCGATTTTAATCTGTGACAGAATTGAAAATACTTCAACATTAAGGAAATCTTGACGAGTTGAATTCTAATCAAGTTCTTATAAAGAAAGTTGTGTGTTTTTTATAAGCCTGATTGTGACTCATAAATACAGTACATGAAAATATAAACATGTCATTGTGATTAGCTTCAAACAACACTGACTGAGTAAATAATGACAAATTATTCAATTTTTGCTGAACTACTCCTTTAAGGCTCTCCCGCTGATGACATCATTAGGTTCGTTCCAGCAAATTATGCAATACTGTATCAAATAGCTCGTAGGCTATGTCTGTGCGTACTGTCTATGTTGATGTCTTGTGTCTCATTCATCTATTGAATGAACAATCTGTCTTTAATATCTTGGCCCTGAGGGTCTGGTGAAGCCTAACAGGATGTGTCTCTAGAAGGATTCAGCTCTTCATATCCTTGACTCGGGAAAGCTCGTGCTTTGTGCTGTTTATAGCTCAGTCTGATCAAACGTTATGTTAGTAATGCAAATGTCATAGTTTTAGGTCTTGATAATATTCTAAGGATGTGTTTATATTTTGTGTGCTGTTTATGTCCTCAGGTATACAAATTATAAATATTTATTTTTAACAGTAGTAATGATGGTACAAGTACAAGTAATTGCGTACAAGTAACTGCGATAAGTCCAATATGATGTGATGTCACCTGCTTGATGGATTTACACAGGTAATTAAAGATGAGATATTGTGTGGTTGAGTGAAAGAATAACACTACATGATAATATACGGATCTCACCTCATCATAAAACTCTGGACACTGATTGTGATGCAAAACTGCAGCAAAAGCACTGGTGGTATAAAGTGGAACCCCTGGCTTGCCATAGATGCACTAAAAGCAAACAGTGGTTAGTCAATTACACATTACACTGCACTAATTATAAAAAATTAAAGAATTGGGGAATAAAACTGATATTACACAAAGAACACTCAAACAGTCACCTTCAATGGGGCGGCTCCTTCATCATCAGAATCCTTGAACTGAACACAAACTGCAATGTTTCGAGCCTGGAAGAAAATACAGACACTGTATCGGACCTCATCATATATATTAGCGAATATTTGCTCTCTCAGCAACAATACATATAGCAATTATTCAAAACCTTTGGCTAGCAGCATGTCCATAATGATGATAAATAATGTAATAGGACACCAATTATGTAGTGATAAATAAAGCAAAATGCTATTTTGCAAATGAATGAAACCGAATGAAAGCCAATAAACAGATGTCATTAGTATCATTGAGAAACAGATCTGTATAAATGTTTGGTAGCATCTCTAATTTAAAAGAAAAGAAGTTGGAGAGTAACAGGGCAAACAGCCAGTAGAATGAGCTTTCCAGCAGTGGAGGAGGATGCAATTAACCCTGAAGTCTGTTTAATTTGAGATACCATTTTCCGTGAATTGATTATGAATTGAATCCCTGGGGCTCTTCACAGAGCCTCATGTGTGAAAACACGTAGGCAGACATCGTTACTGCTTGAAGGAGCTTGTTGTTGCACCACCACCCACAGCTTCCCAGTTCCACTAATTACAGAATTAATTACAGGTGCTTTGAGGAACCTCACCTTGGCAAATGTCTTCTGATTGTCGTATTTGAGCTGCTGAGGATAGACATAGAGATGGTTCTTGTAGATGGTGAATGGGTGGTTGTATCTGGCCTCTTCTAGGACAAACTCCTCCACTTCCACAGACACCCTCTCACACTGCTCCTCAAACGGCTTCACAGGAATATAAGATGGTGTGACAGAGTCTGTGAAGATAAAGGTTATAAATTAAATACCATTCATTATATGTTAACCCTCATGATGTGTTCTGTTCATTTTGAAATGGAAACTAGCATTTTCGTTTTTAATTTTGTTTCGTAATTTATGTACTTTTTGGGTCATTTTTGACCAGGAACACAAGATTAGGTAAAGGATTTTCAGGGTTAAATGTGAAAACAAAATGTGTCCACAGTGTACAAATTGGCATTCCATTCCTTTTTTAAAAGTAATAAAAGGCACAAATACCAGATTCATTCAAAAAGAGAACTATTACAAATTGAAATAAAATTAACCTAGCTATTTTTAAACATATCAAAAAGACTATGTATTCCTAATGCAGACTGTATCAATTAAAATCACATATCAATGACATAATCTGTTAAACAGATATTCAAATCAACTAAAAAATATTTAAAATCATTATTTTTTAAATTAGTTACTATTATGCAAAAGCATAATGTTTAGCTGACACTGCATGATTTCCCCATTACAAAAAATGGAACATTCAATAAAACTGTGACACCCAGGAAGTGACGTAATTTGGTGGAACAGCAGAAAAACAAGTAAATAATCTCCTTCCATTTTCTTAATTTTTACACATTTGCCATGTGAACCATGTTCTCAAAGTTATAAAAAAAAAATCATTTATAAACTGACTGATGAATTGCATCATATGCTCAATTGTGCCTTTAAATAAATTGTTACTGAGAATTAAAAAATTATACGCCTTCGAGTTAGAAAGAAAGCAGGCGTTATCTAATATTAAAAGCCAAATGAAATAAAAAAAGACAAACAAACATACTTGACAAGTCTGGAGGCACGCACTCAACAGTGATGTTAATTTGTCCAGGGATTATCTGCAGTTTGTTCTTCTCTGGTCTACGAACAAAAATGTCTCTTCAAAACATTCATAATGCATAATACAATAAAGTGACTAACAAGTACATTCCTGGTGGATGAGGGGGTTTTTGCCAAGTGCAACATGTCATTCACATCAACAATTTAGTGATAGGCAAAGGAATAGGGTTAATCTTAAAGGCTTGTACACCATTCTTATCACTTCCCTCTGATTCAGGGCTAGTGTTTAGGTTAGGGATCAAATTAGGACTGTTGTTACAGGCATGCTGACCTAGGAACATTTCCTACTTGTCAAATTCACAGGGATACCTGGCATCAAAAGATGCTGTATTAAGTCTAGTACACACGCGTTGCCACTCACTTTTTGAGATCTGTCAGCAGTTTGATTTGGTCTTCAGTGGATATCTTGCTACTGTCTTGGCGGTAGAGTGGAGAGAACTTCCCCTCAATGTCTAAACTGCCTTGGTAATCTTTGAACACCTGTCTGAAGACACAACACGCATATCCTTGGCACCAGAAATGAACTTTAAAACACTTACACATTACCTAAATATTTACTAAAGTGATTTCCGAAGAGTACTGACTGTGACATTCCAGTTTGAAGGGCACGTAATTCTACTTGATGTAGAACATAGATCATTTAATCTTTACTAGTCCATTAAGTGAATAAGGAGCAAGTTTCTGTATCTTACTTGGCAGCCCAAGCGAAGGGCATCCGGTACTGGCCCAGCCGTTGGCACGTCTGCTTGGCAGTCTTCAGGACTTTCTGCACGGTCTGAGAAACAGACACATAAAAAGGCATGGGAGCATTCTGGAAGCATTTAAATCTGAATTATCAAAAGACAATTCAGGTCAAAAACATTACAAAACATTACTTAAAGGGTTAGTTCACCCAAAAATTTAAATTAGACTGTGTTTTACTTACCCTCGAAGCATCCTAGGTGTATATGACTTTCTTCTTTCAGACAAATCCAGTCGGAGTTATATTAAAAATTGTCCTGGCTATTCCAAGCTCTATCATTGCAGTCAGCGGGTGTTGCAGTTGAACAGTCCACAAGTCGTCAAATACAGTTTGCGCATTCATAATAAAACGTGCCGCAGACGGCTCCGGGGGATGTATAAAGGCCCCCTGTAGCGAATCCACATGTTTTTATAAGAAAAATATCCATATTTCAAACGTAATAAACACTTTTCTCTCACTTCCGCTTTGCTTTCTTTGCTCCAATAAACAAACTCGCGAGACTAGTATACCTCAGAGGTGCGCACGCTGCGCATACGTCATACACCTTCCGCCGGAAAGCCTTCCGCGCATGAGAGAAAAGTGTTTATTACGTTTGAAATATGGATATTTTTCTTACAAAAACGCATGGATTCACTACAGGAGGCCTTTATTCACCCCCCGGAGCCGTGTGAGGCACGTTGTATTATGAATGCGCGCGCTTTATTTGACGACTTGTAGACTGTTCAATTGCAACACCTGCTGACTGCAATGATAGAGCTTGGAATAGCCAGGACAATTTTTTATATAACTCCGACTGGATTTGTCTGAAAGAAGAAAGTCATATACACCTAGGATGCTTCGAGGGTGAGTAAAACACAAGCTAATTTTCATTTTTGGGTGAACTAACACTTTAACACCCAACAATTATATAAATACAACACATTTTTATACTATTTTTATACAATACTTTTATTTTCCACATCAGACTGACATTTAAAATGTTAAAATGCATCCTAGAAAGTGTAGACAGCTTGTTGATGTTATGCAACACTAAGAACTCATGCCTAAGAACTGTTTTCAGTTCTCTTGAAGCATGTGTGTGTTATTGAGCACCAGACCTTGCTGATGTCAGAGGTCTTAATGTAGGGCTCAGTGCAATGGGTGATGCCATTCTGTAAGACCTTTTCCACCCGTGCCAGCAGGAAGATGTCTGTGTGGGGGTTGGTAACAGAGAAAATACCCTGGATAACACAAAAGGACACACTGTGGTTATACGAATACTTAGAAGTAAAAAAGGAAAATGGTAACACTTTACAATAAGTTTCATTAGTTAACATTAGTTAACTACTTTAGTTAACATGAACTATGCATGTACAATACTTCTACAGCATTTATTAATCTTAGCTAATGTTAATTTTAACATTTACTAATGCATTATTAAAATCAAAAGTTGTGCTTGTTAACATTAGTTAATGCACTGTGAATTAACATGAACTAACAATGAACGACTGTATTTTAATTAACTAACATTAACAAAGATGAATAAATACTGTAATAAATGTATTGTTCATTGTTCATACATTAACTAGCATTAACTAATGGAACCTTATTGAAAAGTGTTACCAGGAAAATTAAATAGACTGAAAGATCATTAAAGATTATCATGGGTAAATGTTTTGTTGATTATGGACATTCAGTGTAATTAACTCAAGTCGTTAAAAAGGGAAAAAAATGGAATACAGTGGTTTAAATAGCTAGTTTGTTCATTTGTTGCTGGTTTGAACAACAACAACAATAATAATAATAATAATTATTATTATTATTATGGTCATATTTCAGTTTTCACATAAATGAATGAATGAATGAATAAATTAATGAATAGACATACTTTTATTATTATTATTATTATTATTATTATTATTATTATTATGTGAAAGCTACAGAGAAAGTGTATTTTGAGAGAGTCTCATAGGGCCACATATCCAAATTTTAAATCGTAGGTTGCTGAGATGCCTCCTTTTAACCTCTCTGGCCCCTGCAGACTTGTTCTATGCACTTTCACATAACCATTTCATGATCAAAAAATCAAAATCATAAACTAAACTGCAAGACATTGTTCAAGACATTGTACTAGTTCTAGTGTCTCTTTCTCTCTCTAACACATCCAGCCATCTCTTCTTCATGTCAGCTGCCCTGTGTTATGTCAGTTCCAGTAAAGCCACATCACATCTCCCAGCCTGTCAGCAGAGGCTTGAGACCGTCATGGCACTGGCTTTGATTTAGTGCATAGCGTTAGTGGTATGAAACAGTGCTGTGTTAAAACTTAAAGCCGTTTCTGCCCTGGCCACATGCCTTGTACAGAACAGCAAGCTCAAACACATGAAAACACATAGTAAGCCTTGAGACGATTAGTTAGATATAACAATCCATGATTTATAACTGGAAAACTTAAATACCAGAGATAAAAAAGTGCATTTATTTAGCAGAGCTCTCCGTATCATCCAGCATTACAAGGCATCAGGCCTGCAAAAGGTGACAGATGTAAATAATAAAGAAAAAATGTGTCTTCAGTTGTGTATACTAAACTTAGTGTTAATGAGGCATGAAAGTTCACATGCACATGATTTTACATGTGGCTGTTATTGCAAAATGGACACAGGCTTTCAACAAAAGGCAGAAATACAATGACAAGTGCAAATGACGCAAGTCAGCCAAACAATAACTATATTCAGCCACCTGCAGCCCTGAAAACTGCATGGATGTGCAAAATTCTGAAACCACATGGACTTCCCTATCAGAAGCACAGCAGACGCATCCTTCTTATTCAGCAGTGCTGGACAATGCTCGCTGAGGAGGGTTGCCAGTCATTTGCAGAAATATTGCAAAGTGCAAATTTTAAAAGTTGGCCAGGATAAATCTGTCACACACTAAAGAACAGAAAGCTCTCTCTTGATTTTAATGGTGCTTGCTAATGCTTTTTCACCTAGTGGACCATAAAACAGGTAACAAAAAAAAAGAGCCATATCTAGTGACCGGAGTATCACAGAGACACGGTGGCAGTGTTAGTTATTTATTAGTATCACTGGGATACTATTATACTTTAAATTTGATTTATTTTTATATTTAATTTAGTTTAAGTTATTTTAATACATTAATTTTTATACTTTATATAAAATACAATATACATTTTATAGTTCTTATTTTTATATATATAAAATGTATTATTATTATTTCATTTTTTGGTTTAAGTTTTAGTTAACTATAATTTGGGTCTGTAATCAACCACCTAGCAATCACATAGCAACAAACTAAAAACACCTGAATACATTAGCAACCACATAGCAATGCCCTGACAACCACTTTCTATTATTGGGAAGGTGAGTTTTGATAGGCAAGAGCCACTTACTCATTATACTATATTGTATATTATTTATGTAAAATTATGTAAAAAGTCTTTATACAAGATAAATTCTACTGTATTGGAAGTACAGCATTTTCTTGCAGCAAAGGCTTATTTTAATTATCTTCAGAGAATATGTGTCTAGAAAGCCATCCCCAAAGTGTTACCATGTCAACTTTTACCTGAGAGGGGAAGCGTATAAGAGACTCCGCGACCCTCTGGAGAACCGGCAGACCGTGTCCGTTTACCCTGACGGTTTCATTTCCATCTCCTCCTTCTGGTTCTTTTGGCGTCCCAGGAGAACCTTCTTGAAGCATTTCCCTCACACAGGGTGGATTGAGGTCAACGTGAAAGTCTGCAGAGATCTTACATCCTTTGGAAAGATCAAACAACGCTAGGCTGATGAAGAATGGCTCTACCTGAGGAGAAACCACAAAGTGTGGAATGAATGAGGCTGATGAGTCTTCACACCCTATTTGACATCTTTACTGTGGTAACTTCGATTCAAGCAAGCAATCTGTCTGAGCAGTACTATATACTGTGAGGATCATATAGTTTGTTTGATATAGATTATATAATTTAATGACAGCAAATCAGATTCAAGCAAAAGACTGTACTTCTAGTATTTATGTAACCACATCTCTGTGTGTAATTTCACTCCATTCACATCAGTCATGTCTTTTAATCATTTAACAAAGTGTGGGAAATTCAAGATGCATTCTAAGGGAGCAGAAGCTTTCCAAACCCTGCTGATGAGAGCCAGCATTCCTTCCCTGGAGCCATTGCGAGTGCTTCACTGAGCGTGATCATATTCATCACTGTGTTCTGGATGAGTCCTCTGGCCAAAAATCTCTAATTCATCTCTCATTAAAAGAACTCCATGATTACTATACTGCTATCCAACTATACTGACCCATAACTGCTGTTCTCTGACAGTCAAAGCTAGACAATAGTTGATACATTTATTAAGTAACCTGGGACACAAAGAGAATTTATGGGTTTCATGTGATGTTCGTAGCTTAAGAAACACATGATTCAAAAATACATTTATATTTTATCGCATAGGCCTATCCTCTGTACAGGACATTAGGATTAAGAAAATAAAGGCAAGACTATAATATAGCTAAAATAAAAATTTTCCTTTACAAATCAATTTTTAGGCTTTGAACTATATTTTCCTTTACCACTGATATTGTAAAATGTAAAAAAATAAATAAAATTATTATTATTTTAACATTTTAATTTTATATATAATATACAAATAAATTAGCAGTGCCTGCATCTAAATGTTTTTCAGCACTTTTATACATTATTATTATTAATTGTATTTAACTAACTTTCACAAAATGTCTTTTTAACATGTCACTAAAACTTAATAATAATAATAATACAATTATAATATAATACAATCCTTATTATTATTATTCCTTTTTTTTTTTTAAATAAAGTTTGACTAAAATGTTGAAAAAAAATCAGATACATGCAATTGATCTTTTAAAATAATATGCCTATGATTTTTTCTATAATTGTGACGTCAAACAGATTTAAAAACCAAGAAGAGGAAGTTGTCATGGCCAAAGCCCTTTTTTAAGATATACAGTACCAGGACTCTCTCTATATAAAAAATTCACAAAACAACTTACATCTACAGAGAACAAATATGAATGGTGGAGTCCCATGAGGATAACTGAGCCCAATGGTATAATTCTGTTTTTGCTTAGAGAATGATAGGGATATACTGCACTGGCTAATATTGTTCATGATTATTCAAAGTCTAAACATTCTCATGTATCAAAGATCAACAGTAGCACTGGCAGCATTTACATTGGCAGCATCACAAAACAGGACCAACAGGATCAACAAAAATGTGACACTGACAAAAAAGATGAAACACCTAGCTTAAGGTTTACTCACGTTGGTTAGGATGCCATCATTCTTCTCACTGACACATCCTTGCAGGCTAAAGGTCAAGTCGTGACAGCTAACCATGATTCTTCTGCCAAATCGCTCTTCAAATGGCTTCACGTCAGGCTCGATGCCTGAGAAATCTAATCTCTGAAGAGGAAGGGAAAGATATAATTTATTAATTTTCCTCATTGCTTCACATAGGCAAAGAAAGACTGTCTTTCTAATAGCTGTACATTGGACATGATGGACAAACCTGCGTCTCAGGATCGAGGGTGAATATTTTCTGTCGACTTTCATTCCTGCTCATTTTATTTAGCTGGTCGGTTTCTCTGGCATACTGGAGATAACAGGACAAAAACAGGACTGTTTGCATTTGTAAAAGCATTTAAATAAACCAAACCCAAATTCACCAAAACGTGTGAGAGTCACTCAAAAATTACAATCTGCTAAAAATATACTCATCCTCAGGCCATCCAAGACGTACAGGTGCATCTCAATAAATTAGAATGTCGTGGAAAAGTTCATTTATTTCAGTAATTCAACTTAAATTGTGAAACTCGTGTATTAAATAAATTCAATGCACACAGACTGAAGTAGTTTAAGTCTTTGGTTCTTTTAATTGTGATGATTTTGGCTCACATTTAACAAAAACCCACCAATTCACTATCTCAACAAATTAGAATATGGTGACATGCCAATCAGCTAATCAACTCAAAACACCTGCAAAGGTTTCCTGAGCCTTCAAAATGGTCTCTCAGTTTGGTTCACTAGGCGACACAATCACGGGGAAGACTGCTGATCTGACAGTTGTTCAGAAGACAATCATGGACAGCCTTCACAAGGAGGGTAAGCCACAAACATTCATTGCCAAAGAGGCTGGCTGTTCACAGAGTGCTGTATCCAAGCATGTTAACAGAAAGTTGAGTGGAAGGAAAAAGTGTGGAAGAACCAAACGAGAGAACCGCAGCCTTATGAGGATTGTCGAGCAAAATCGATTCAAGAATTTGAGTGAACTTCACAAGGAATGGACTGAGGCTGGGGTCAAGGTATCAAGAGCCACCACACACAGACGTGTCAAGGAATTTGGCTACAGTTGTCGTATTCCTCTTGTTAAGCCACTCCTGAACCATAGACAACGTCAGAGGCGTCTTACCTGGGCTAAGGAGAAGAAGAACTGGACTGTTGCCCAGTGGTCCAAAGTCTTCTTTTCAGATGAGAGCAAGTTTTGTATTTCATTTGGAAACCAAGGTCCTAGAGTCTGGAGGAAGGGTGGAGAAGCTCATAGCCCAAGTTGCTTGAAGTCCAGTGTTAAGTTTCCACAGTCTGTGATGATTTGGGGTGCAATGTCATCTGCTGGTGTTGGTCCATTGTGTTTTTTGAAAACCAACATCACTGCACCCGTTTACCAAGAAATTATAGAGCACTTCATGCTTCCTTCTGCTGTTTAGCTTTTTGAAGATGCTGATTTCATTTTCCAGCAGGATTTGGCACCTGCCCACACTGCCAAAAGCACCAAAAGTTAGTTAAATGACCATGGTTTCTTCATTGGATTTTGAGAAATTTTGCATTGCATCACTTACTCACCAATGGATTCTTTGCAGTGAATGGGTGCCAAACAGCTGATAAAAACTGCCTGAGGGTGTCAATTTTTAGCAAATTTTCATTTTTGGGTGAACTATTCCTTTAATATACTTCATCCCACCATGGACTGAAATCAGTTTGACCTTCTACTTGCAGTACGATGAATAAACCAGGAGCAAAATCAACTGCAATTTTTTATATCTTTCTTGACTTTTTTTGATTGACCTGTCATAATTTAAGACATTTAAGCACAAAAGTGGACTAAAAATGCAAAATAATATTTATTATTTTGTGACGCCACTCACTGAATTAGGTCGTGTGACAACAATGAAGCATACTTCTGTTTTAAATGTGTATTACTGCATGCATACTATTACATATTTCTGAGTAGTAAACTGTCATCAGTATATACTGCACAGTATGCAGAAGACAATATCCCAGTATTCTGAACTCAGCCACTTAAAATGCACAAAGCAGCAATCAATCAAACCACTACAGTTAGCATTGTAATTATTTTGTGTCAAGTACCTTCATTAGCTCTGGATGAAGACTCCGGCCAAAGCTGTCTGCAATGTTCTCTGGTCTCCCCTGGCTACTGCTGTCGTCATCTGTTTGGATGAGACACTTGTTAATCAAAAGGCAAACTGATTAATTCTAACTGAAGATGAATGCATGACAGACAAAGCCTTATATCATTATGCAGTGTGTGAATATGGGCTTATCTTAGACACCAAGCAGAATAATTAAAACGGTCTTTAATCATGACTGCCTGGTACTTTTAAAAAGTAAAAGACAAAATCTCATATTTGCTGATTAGCTGATCAATGTGTTTGATATATTTGAAAGTCAAATGAGTTTCTAAACTGCTCCACTGGAACAGGAAGCAGTACCATTGTCTGTAATGTGTGTATGTGTTAAATGGTGTCGAATCGGGGACAGTAGGTGGAGCTTCTGGGAAATCAGCTGCTCTCATTTATTCATGCAGACAAGAGAAGGTGGGTTGCTAGAAGATTTATCTTCACATTGTGAGGTGGAATATTTTTAAATGGCTGCTTGGCTCTTTTACTGTCACTTTCCATAAATAGGTTACACACTGGTCTGGTTTTATCTTATTAGACAGATTTAAATAACTATCATCTAAAACAGGACACAAAATATCTGCCTCTCTCCTCCTGCTAAAATGGTGATTTTGGCCTAAATCCTGCAATTAAGATCAAATTAACAACGCCATAATGTTATTATAATCGGTTCAATTGATATTCAATTCACTGAATTAATGTTTAAAATTATTAACTTATTCTAATGACAATTGCCTACATTTACTTTAGGCTAAATATGACTTTTTCTGAAGCACTTTTCATTGCTGAACAAGAAAAAATATATATTTTAAAATATTTTATATACCATTCAAGGAAAGTGCTTATACTATATAGACCTACAAGGCATACATGTCAGGACAGTCTATTAAACTTAGAGCAATTAAAACCAGAGTAGTTATGGTTATGTTTAATTCTAATTCTACAGCCCACATGCCAAAGAGCAGAAATTGTATCACAGAACAACAGCGTCATTTCAACAGAGATCTGAAATCTGTATATTAGTCATTCCAAAAATCGAGAAGTTAGAGATTGAATGCATGTTATTGAAAACAATTTAATTTCCTCATGACCAGCACATGGAAGGTCTTAAAAACAAGTGCCACTATTGGCCAAAGTTTATACTATAGAAGCACAGGGAGTTGTTTATAAGCGTCTTTACTGAACGGGCCAAAAGTAGCATTCCCTTCACAGCTCCTCTATGTGAATACAGCCTCCCTAACATTTCAGTAATCTGTCAACACAAGAATATTTACTGAAAGCCCGAAAGCCTGTCTCCTGTAATTAAAAAAAGCAGAAACTACTTATTAATTCAGAACCGAATTATTATTATTCAGTAAGCCTTATTTCGAATACAGAGAAATGAATACAAGTTCAATAGGTTTCAAAAAGGCCCCAAAATAAAACTAATATACTTATTATATTTGGAAGTAGCAGAATGGGAACTATACATCTTTTCAGGAAGTAGCACATACCAGAGTTTCCCCACGTTGCCAAAATGCTTGCCATTTGGTTATGTGCGGGGATCGTTTGGCTATTTTCATTAGGAAGAGGGTGGTATTTGTTCCCAGACGAAGAGAAAACAGGGAGAACAGCCAATTAAAAACGGCTTATTGTTGGTATTTTGGGAGTGACATAATGTCTTCTTTGATGATGATGCAATAAGTTTCATTACATCATTAAAGTGATGATGATGGTGGTCTCACGATAGAAATGCTTAAAGGAATAGAACTTACTTTGTCTGGAGGGAGAAGGTCTTAAGAGTCCATCAAGGACCTTTATGTTGAAGGGAGGTTTGCATCCTTTAGCCAGTTAAGAGAGAAATTTGATTTGCCACATGCACACTTCTTTCGTTATCTACAAATTAGGCACTATGTAAAGTCCAAAATTAGTCATTTTGAACAACTCCCTGAAAAGCATGTGTTTTTTGATGTTTTCCTAAATTTTCCTGATTCTAGGCATCTTATTTCCAAATTTGTTTGTTTAATTGAAAGCTGCGTTGCAGCCCCTACTGAGAGATTTAAAGCAGCCTGGGAGGAAGACTTGGGAGTTGAGCTCTCTGACGATATGTGGGATAAGTGTCTGACTACAATACAGGTCTGCTCAGTTAACAGCAGACACCAACTGATTCAATTCAAGGTTGTTCATCGCTTGTATTACACTAAAACCAAACTGCATAAAATGTTCCCCTCTGTTTCACCAATGTGTGACCGGTGCAAGGTGGCAGAGGATATAACTTCTCATGCTTTCTGGTTTTGCCCATTATTGTCTGGGCTTTGGTCAAGCATATTTGACTGGTATTCCAAGGCTTACAATAGGCCTCTTCCACCGGATGCAGAACTTGCTATCTTTGGTTTTTCACAGCGCACCTCCTGCCTCCCGGGGACATTACAGCAGTCTCTAACCCTGGGTATGATTGTGGCTAAGAGACTTGTGCTTAAGATCTGGAAGCCACCCTCACCCCATTCCTTTCGAATGTGGATTATGGACATGATCTCTGTTATTCAAATGGAAAGACTCCGATTCTTGAGAACTAATTCCATTAAAAAATGTTCCGCTGTTTGGGGTTCATTTCTGGGCCATTTGGACAAGATATTTTTGAAAAACCCTTAAAATAAAGTATGTATATAAAAAGAAATGCTTAAAGGAATAGTTCATAAAAGAGCAAAACTCATGACGCTCCAAACGGGTAGAGTTTTATTTTATGGTTCAACACAAAATGGGAAAGTCTGAAGCATCTTTAAGTGTGCTAATGTGGGTGTTTCCAGTACAGTATGTGTGTGTGTGTGTGTGTGTGTTATTTACCCAGAGAACCTTCAGAAGGTTCTGATCCATTCCTCCTGTCATCCAACGTGCTCAGTAAAGCCTGTTTCAGCGTATTCACCCACTCCTCCATCTCAGCCTCGCTGTCCGCCGCCAGATAGTGACTGTAACGTTCCTGCATCTTCAGCTCAAAGCTGTTACGCTTCATCTTAGGACACTGCAAGAAAAGTGCTGTGTCAGTCTGTGGAGGAATTTAATGGTGTGACTTTTAGAGCTGTTTGTGGTTATAATAATAATGGGTGTTCAGAAAGGAAGATTCCTCTGGTTGTTTTACTGAGCCTGAGGGCTGCTACGTGCTGTTATTAAACTTTCTGAAAAAAATGTATCAAGCCAAGTTCAGATATTTCTATGTTTAGATATTTCCAAGTTGTAAAATAAAATGTGTAATTTATAATGCTCATTTCTAGCAACAAAAAAAGCTTTATAATAACATTACATAATTAAACCTTGTTAATCAGGGCCTGTTAACTATTGTACCCCTTGATCACATGACAATCTTTGACTGAAAATCTGTTCAGGATTTCTGTAAAAATAAAAAATAAAACAGTATGTACCGGAACTACATCTATACAAGAGTCCAGATAGATGGAGCCTTTTGATTCTTTGTAGTTTTTCTCATCTTTATATGAATTCAGTATGTAGGATCCATCAGGGAGCTGAGACAGGTAGAAATACCTCCTCTTGAACACCTGTGCAGAAAGAAATAACGTGTGTGAAAAAATAGAGTCAGAAATACTGTGATATGTTTATAGCCATTTTCATCCTTCAAATTCATATTGAAAATATACAGAACTAAACTGTTCAAAAATGTGGATTTGGTCAGATTTACCTGATCAAGAATACAGTAAAAACTGTACTGTGAAGTAATAACAATTACTTCACTGTTTTCTATTTTACTGTATTTTAAAATGTAATGTATTCTGTGATGGAAAGCTCAATTTTCAGCAGTCATTACAGTTGTCAGTGTCACACGATCCTTGAGAAATCATTCTAATATGCTGATTTGGTGCTTAGGAAACATCTTATAATTCTTATTAATCTAAATTTCTTATTCATCTTAACTCTATATATATTCTTTATAATTTGACACATAACAAATGCCTTTTTGTGAAATGTTGCACCTGAAAAGTGCGCTTTTGGTATTTTCCTTAATATAAAACGTCACCTGGTTTGATAGTTTGTTATCTAATACAAAGACAATTATACATTTTTAAGTGTGGCTTAAAAATATTTATTGGCGTCACTGATATAATGCATTAGCTTCACACAAGCTATATCCACATATCATCTATTAGTAATAGTATACGAAATTATTTTTTGACCTGCTGACTAATGAGTAATGGGATTGAGCAAGTCATATAATGTACCATATATCCTTTATGCAAATACTTGCTAGACATCATTTTGCACAGAGTGCTGCACTTTGTTAACAGCGTGTGTTTGTGTATGAACATTAGTGCATGTAATTGACATTTCTGATTTACAAAAAAAAACAAAAGACCTTACAGGCCTCTCTTCAACAATGGGTCTTCAAACTGCATTGATCAGCAGATGTACAGTATATTAAGTAATAATGACTGCTGTAGTTCTGCTGATGTTTTTTTTTAAAAAGGTGTGGCAATGATTCCACTAACCTTCATGGAGACAGACAGACTGCTGTTGATGTTGGCCTTCTGCAGCCAGCCCTGCTTCATTACACCTCCTCTCTGAGAGCAAAGAGATGATGAATCCTGAAACACACACAGAGTAAGAACTAATGAAGCAGTCTGATCTGAATACAAAGATTTAGATCAATGCATTTCTACGCATGTGACCTCTCTGCCTTAAAGATCAAATGCTCTGAAACAAATATGAACACGTTCTGGTTTTACAAACATTCACGCAAATAAGCCACTTATCCCTCACATAGTAACTCAACACTTTACACACACATTAACACAATACAAAAATGCACTTACAAACACAGCTTATAAATGCTTTAAAAACTGTATATATTACATATAACAGTAATATTAATATATTCATGAAAGGCAGAGGTGGGATTTTGTTTACTTACAGTGACTATAAATATGTGCATGTCTTTGTGTGTGTGTGTGTTTCTAATTTAACTGAAGTGGCCTGGCGTCCTTTATGAATGTGCTTTTCTCTAGCTTTCCACTGTAATATAATTGTCCAAATGCCCTTCTCCCCTCTTTCCTCCAGCATTTCTCATTCCCTCTCTCTCTCTGTTCCTAACAGTCCCTCTGAGACTGATCAATTGCCTGCATGCTGTTCTCCCTTTTGAGTCACTCGGCTAATTGATTAAATTAAATGGACATGACAGAGCCAACATGATACATACATACATACACTACCCAAATGTTCAAAAGTTTGGGGTCAGTTTTTTTTGTTTAAAAAAAAAGTCTCTCACACTCACCAAAGCTGCATTTATTACATTAAATTATATACAGTAAAAAAGTAACATTGCGAAATATTCGTATACATTTTTATTATTTTAATATATTTTAAAATGTAATTTATTCCTGTGATGATCCTTCAGAAATCATTCTAATATGCTGATTTGGTGCTCAAGAAACATTTCTTCAGAAATGTTTTTCAGGAAAACCATTTTCAGAAATCTTCGATGAATAGAAAGTTCAAAAGAACAACATTCATTTGAAATAGAAATCCTTTGTAATAATAAATAATAATACATTTATTTTTTTATTAATTAATTAAAAAGTTAATTAATATTCATTTCTAATAATAATAATTACTTGCCCCAAACTTTTTCAGTTATGTACAGTATATACATGAGGTACTATGACAGTGACTTCACTTAATTATTGATCAAAGGAGGGAGTCATGTAAACTTACAGCAAAGGTCTGGGATATAAAATACTTTTTGGTAGGTGAAAAAATATATATTTTAGAATATAATTTATAGAATATATATTTTAGAATATATAAATATCTTTTGTTTTCCACAGAAGAAAGTAATGCATACAGGTTTGGAAAGACATATAGGTGAGAATATCTGAATTTTAAAACTGAACAAGATACTGAATTCATTCTTATATAATGCCCTCATTATTGTGTACATTTTGGCTTCATTGGCCTCTCGCTTTAGCCCAAAAAAGTCATTTTAGGTATTCAGAATTAGAACTCAATTCATTTAATTCCACTAAGTCAATTGTAAGGAAAAAGACTAGACTACCATGTCTAAACATGTACATACACATAGACTTAAACACACACACACACACACACACACACACACACAGGGTGGAGAAGCAATCTCTTTGCCCTGTAATCACCACTCCTTACATCTACTTTTATCAAGATCTGCCGGACACTTCAGTGTGTGTCTATTACTAGATCATGAGTGCCTGGTTCCATGTAATATGCCTCTCTGCTGACCGTCTAGCCTTCATCTCTACATCTGATTATGACCTCACAGAAACCTCACAACATTTGCAGTGCTGTCTGGGAAGACGAACAATATCTATAATGTCAATAAGAGGTTTAGCACAGTACAACAAGACACTTAAGACTACTTGGTGGATGTGCGTGCTAAAATTGGGATTAACACTCAAGTACCCAGAGGTGTAAAGAGTACCTGAAAACCATACTTGAGTAAAAGTACAGATACCTTACAGTGAAAATGAATCCATTACAAGTTACAAGTCACCAATTCCAAAACAGCTTGAGTAAAAGAGTAACTGATTTTAACAGTACTTAAATATTTTAAAAAGCTTTTTAAAAGAGAGAGAGATGAAAGAATATATTGAGACTATATTCTTATATTGATTAAATATATTGAGTGTGATATTCTACACTCTGTTTTCCATCAACAAACATTAATGTCTCTTACCTCCTCCCCTTCATCCACCTCAAACACTTGGTTGGGAAGCTTTTCCATCTTCATGCCTTTACTGCAAGACAGAAAAAGTAGCTTATGGCAAACTTTGGAAATAACACTGCAAAAGCTTTGGCAAAATGTGCAAACTTTGAAATACCAGGGCAGCGTCCGGAAGTCTCCAGAGAAGGCCTCGTAATTATAGTTGATGACATGCCAGTTGGTGTTGTACATCTTAATGCACTGTCAAAGAGCGTAAGCATTGCTCAGTTACTCAATCGCATGAGCAAAAACACATCAAAATATGAAAAAGAGGAAAATGTGATCTCATATTTTATTAGTCTGGAAAGCTGGAGTCTTCCCTCTTATTTTGGCATTGAGAGGTTCTTTACCTCTTTGGCAAATAGGCTTTTTGCTTCTTTCTCAGCATTTTGAGGAACTGAGGGAACAATGGTCCTCCTTTGACGTTGTATCTGTGCTTCCTAGAGAGCCAAATAGACAGACAGGCAAGAGAAGACAAGACAAGACAGATTAGATTAGACAGACAGACGGAAATTAGACTCATATGGTGGCTGCACAAGGATAAGGACTAAGTTTGAAAATGAGTCAAACAAATAAATGTCAGGAAATGTGCTTGTGAAATGACTCACTGATACATCATCAGCTGGCCACACCAGCAGGTCTCTCTGTGGATCACTGTGGATCTGAGCTTTCCTCTGGAACACCACATTCTCATAGTCCAGTGGCTCGATGATCTTCGGCTGCTCCTGCAAACACACAGGATTGATCAATGAATTTACACACAGCTACCCTCAAAGGGCCTGTGATGTCTCGAGTCAATGTTTGTGTCCCTCTTTATTGCTGCTACTAAACATACTAAAGCAATGCCCACTGTTATTATTCAGATTTGCTTTATCTGTTGTGCTTGTTAGTGTAGGCCTAGTTTACACAGATTTGACAGCTTTGCCTGCGAGTTTATTCATTCACTGCCCCTCAACAACTTTTCTACAAAGCAAAAATCTGCCACAGGATTTCCGATTTCTTATTTTTACAGCTTTTAAGTTTGGTTCAAAGTTTTCTCCTAAGATTTCCCTTTTCAAGTTCCTTCTAAAAGAGAATCACGTGTTAAAGCTTAAACACACTCCTGACTCAGCTGACATGCCTGTGTCATGGTCTGATACTCATAAAGAGTTTAGCCCATGGAAGAGAAAGTGTTTTCACCAAAAACAAACCATGTGGGATGGACAGAACACAAGGGCAGTGGACTAGATTAATCTTTTGCACTCTTTTCACCCATGTTGCACTGTACGGGAATTGCCAAACAGATGACATTTCAGATGACTTGCCAGCAACTTTAAGGCTTTAACCTTCTGCTAAAGGTGTCGCTTAGCTGGAAATAAACTATGAGCAGTCAGAGATTTTAAGAGAGGAAGTTATAGTTTTATAGCTACATAAGGTTTGGACAAAAATGGGCAGTCTGTATCTTCTGTCCAAAGTTCGAGGCTGGGTAAAGCTGCTCATTGTTTCTAATGTTTAAAGCGGTTCAGCTTTGACAAGATCAGCAGGGCTTGAACCCATAATCACACAGGTATTTTGAGAGTATTTCAGCTGAAATCAAAAGGAATTAAATGAGTCCAAATCAAAGCAATTTCAAACTAATCCTTTTTAGAAATCATCCTTTGGAATTTTTTCCTAGCTTCCTAGCTGCAGAAAATGCTTAATTGGGAGTTCAGAAAAGGAAACAAAGGTCCAATTTATTTAATTTGCAATACATTTGATAAAATCTCAAACCACAGACTGTAGAAAAATGCTCACTCTTGCACATGTTCAAATTTATATGATGCTGGACATGTCACTCTAAACCAATATGACTTTTCTTATGTGGAACCAGGGCTGTAGCTGAGGTTTCCAGGGCCCCTGTGCAGGTTGTACCCATGGGCCCTATTTGAAATTGTGTAAATAGGCTAGCACAAATAAATAGGCTAAATAGAAGAAAATAAACAATGCTTTAGTTTTTTCAGGTTTGTCTGTGTTCAGGTAAAGAAATTGAATAATCATAATGTAAAACAGCATTGCATAGTCTTCACTGTATAAATTACATATAGATTAATCATTGTTAAAGCTACAAACGTTTTTCAATAAAGAGCAGTGAGTGATTTTCTCTCTCGCTCTCTTTTTTCTTGGAACCCACAGCAGCTAGTTTGTTTGTTTGTTTAATTTACTTATAAAGCACACATTAATACAACTACTGTTGCCCAAGTTGCTGTACAATAAAAGTAAACTTAACATACAAAAGTTATGTTTAAAAGTACATTTAAAAGTAAAACAGAAAAATTCAATAACATCCCTCAATACCCAGTAGAAATGAAAGCCTGAGATAATAAATAAACTAACTTTAGTTGGAGCTGCTCTAACATGCAGGGGTAAGAGATTCCACAGTCTAGGTTCAACTACCGAAAAAGCCCAGTCACCCCTAAATTTTAATCTAGACCTAGCAACACTGGGAATACAGAACACAGCGTGCAGGTGCTCATTTAAGCTCTTTCGAGTCTTTTTGTGCTTGAATTGTTTAAAAATCGCAGAAATTTGCAAGGTTTATTTGTTCTTTCAAGAGCAAGAAAACACGACTAAAGACAACTAAATTGTGGGCTTGCGTGTTGTCAGAGACATAGCTCTCTGTTCGCGCTATGCACACAGAACACAATGCACAAGTATTGAATGGAGTTGTTTTGTGTCTTCTTGCACTTGAAAGATTTCAAATCTTTAAATTGGCAAGGCTTAAAAACATGTGCAAATGATAAACTTTTGTGACGAGGCAGGCCGTCAACTGTCCAGACCCTCTTTCACGCTGGCACCGGGCAGCCCGTTCAAATTGGGCCCCTATAATAGTCACCACCATTCTCCCCACTAGCTATGGCCCTGTGTGGAACACCAAAAAAATGTTAGACAGAAAGTTCATGCTGCCCTAGGCGGAGAGTGAACCAACTCAAGGGTAAGGCTAAATGTAAAGGGTAAGAAGCCTAATGTTAGTGTAATCCATTAACTACACACATCATAAACCCTTTTTAAGCAAGTACCAGATATGTTTGTCATGTAGGGCTGGGAGATATAGCTAAAAATTGTATCAACGATATAATGTTTCATATCGTTCGGTATCGATAATTATTGAAATTTTTTATAACCTTCTTTAAAACAAAAAGCAATAGAATTTTTTTTTTTACGTTTAACCACTGTATTTATAATTTTCAGACAATTTGAGACAAACAACAAATATTTTTTGTTTTAACAATCAAACACAATAAAAATTAAACAAATATCTAATTTCTAATGTTTTATATGCAGATTAAATAGGTCTTTAATGTATAGGTCTAATTGTCTCCTGAGGCCACAGGAGGGCGCAATGAGCAAAACAATGCAGCGCAATTAAATTGTCAACGCAAGGAAGTAACTCTATAAAAATGTGCATTACGTCTAAATTAACTCATAAAAATCAAATATAATTTCGTAAATTGCATAAACAATTATGAACAAAACAGCATCATGTATTTATGCATTGCTTAATACAAAGAGCCGAAGCGCAATTCACACAAACTGCATTTAAAAACATATGACACGCAGTGAAAAGGAATAAACCTCCACAAATTCGTGAGGTGTTTTCTAAAAGTAACTATTTTAACTTTGCATGGCTTTCTATACATCTCTTCTGTGAGACGCGAGTGCAACAGTCATATTTGTCCGTCTAAAAAAATGCGCTGAATATGCATTCTGTGTGAATGGCTTGGTTTCGGTTTTAACCTAATCAAGATCTTCTCCGCATTGAGCTTCTATATTTCTCTAATATTTTGAATGAATAAAGCAGCAGCGGCACATCTCGTGGGCTAGACTAACAAAACATTAAAATGCAACAACATCACTTACATCACTCACCGCATCTCGTGAGAGCCACTGATGACACTCCCTGATGCACACCTAACATTAAAATGCAAATGTTTATTTTAAATTCGACTAATATTCATTCTTTATTCACAATCTCCTCATCGCAGGCAGGCACAGCATTCATTTCAGCATGTGTTCGTGTGTGCTGTCTGCGTCACTCAGAGCACATGCCTATATCGTGCTCTATATCGAACAATTTTTCTATCGATATCGAAGAAGGTGTACTGTCGATAAATATCGATACCGGTTTATCGCCCAGGCTTATTGTCATGTATTAAAATATTTTTAATATGACACTGTAAGTTACTTACAAGTGCGCGCACTGAGCAAAACTCCGCTTTTTGAGCGATGACTTATCTGAACACCTCTGATTGGCCATTGAATTCATAAACACAACAGACTTGTGTGTGATTGGTTATAAAGCGCAACACTGTAAAACCGCGTAAAAAGTATGATGATGCAACATGAGCAGATCTAAATTTAATGCTGCAATCAACACTTTTCATTTCATTTTCATTTTATTTCGATTTAGTGTGCAGTGGTATTTTTTCCCAAGCCCCTGTTACTGTAATTTTCACCCCCTGGGAAGGCTAAGCCTTGCCCAGCTTTACACATGCTCTGCCTTATGCATGCTGCTCTTTTCCATGCAATTTAAGTGAATTGATGCCATAACCTTGAAAAATGATTGAAACCCAACTGTAAAAGTAGCGAATAATGACTTCAATTCATCTGTTGTTTTATCACATAAAACTATTGAAGACTTGCAAAATAACATGTCATACAGACAAATTCTATGGTGCTTTTTTTTGACATGCAGGTTAAAAGTCATAGAAGGTCATGCAGGTTAAGAATAAAATGAGGGTGAATAAATAATGTCATAATGTTTATGTTTCGTTGAATTAACCCCTGTACATTACAAACAGGCCAGGACCATTCTACAGTACCTTTCAAACGTTTGGGGTCAGTGCGATTTTTTTTTTTATGTTTCAGAAAGAAGTCTCGTATGCTCACCAAGGCTGCATTTCTGTGATTAAAAACATAGTAAAACAATATTGTTTTCTATTTTAAAGGGGTCATATGATGCGATTTCAAGTTTTCCTTTCTCTTTGGAGTATTACAAGCTGATTGTGCATAGATAAGATCGCTGAAGTTGCAAAGACTAAAGTCTCAAAACCAAAGAGATATTCTTTATCAAAGTTAAGACTCTGCCACGCCCCCTTAAAACGGCTCGTTCTAACACGCCCCCACATATCTTCCTCACTATGTGGAAATATTTGCATAATGCCGCCCAAATGTGCACGCAAAGAAAGAAGGTGTGGTTTCAGTAACCGCAGTTAGTGTTGAAGCAGCCATGTCAGGGAGACGCTGTGTGTTTCTAGGCAATAGCAAAAGCACTTTATTTGGCCTTCCGAAAGTAGATGCTTTTAGGAATCTTTAAGATTACTTACAACAGAACAGCAATGCATTTTATGGATGACCGTTTCGTGAACCTAGGAGAGGAGGTAATTCTGACTTTGCTATGACAATCTGGCGCTTCTGAATCAGCTACTGTTTTGTTATTAGCTTAAGTATTTGCTTTTGACTGTTCAAATGCTGAGTTTTGTGCATCGTGTCTGTGTGTGTGTGTGAGAGTGAGAGAGAGAGAGAGAGACAGAGAGAGAGAGAGAGAGTCACATCACATCACAGTGGAGTCAGCTGTCTTAACCGTGGCTTGTGTACTGCAAACACATACCAGCTTCATCACTGTGTCTGTCACGCGACTCTGTTCCCCTTTCGGGCTCTGTCTTTACATTTATTTTGAAAGATAAAGCTCGCGATTATGGTAAGGGGCGTTACATTTCCGACGAGTGCTTGCGGTGTTTGGCCAATCACAATGCACTGGGTCAGCTGGCCAATCAGAGCAGACTGCACTTGTCAGAAGGAGGGACTTTGTAGAAAACGAAGCGTTTGAGAGAGGCGGGGCATAGAGGACCTACAATAATGTACAGTATTTGAAAAATAATGTGTTTTTTGAACATTAAAGCATGTCAACATATTCTGTTACACCAAATACACAAAATAATGATCTTTAAAAAAGCATCTATGACCCGATCCTTCAAAAATCTTTCTAATACGCTGATTTGGTTCTCAAGAAACATTTCTTATTATTATTTGATAAAAACATTTTTGTGGAAAATATTTATTTGAAATAGAAATATTTTGTAACAATGTAAAAGTCTTGACTGACAATTTTAGTCAATGCATCCATGCTGAATAAAAGTATTGATTTCTTAAAAAAAAAAAAATGTCCCCAATTCAAATTGCACTATATATTCTGCTTTTATTATACAGTACATCTTGCTTGAGAAGGAGAAATATCAGCATAAATATACCCAGACAAAAACTGCCATACATCAATACCTTCTCTTATAATACACATAAATGCTTCCTGTGTTTCTCAAACACATATGCATGAGCTGACAACCAATGCAAGTGTTTCAGCAGCAACTTCCTGTCATGTGTCATACCACATAGAGGCCAAAAAAACCACAGCCAGTCCATCTCCCACGGCAACAGAGCATGTGCTACAGCTCAGTTCTGCTGGCATGTGGCTGCACTCTCTCTCAACTGCCCTTTCAAACCAAATTATACCAACTTCCCCAATCCAAGTCCTGTCCTTAATCACTGCAAGCCAGGTGTTAAAATCTCAGGGCCAAGATTAAGCTACCATACCACGGTAGGACCAGTTTCCTATAGCCAAAAATAACCCAACCTCTGCAAAAACAACCACAAGGCCTCAGATAATTTCAAAAAGGACCATCAGCGTCAACCCTGTTGAGGACAGAGAGGAACTGAAGAAAAAGAAGAATCACAGGCCAACAAACCACAGGCTGAGGTAAAGGGAAACATGAGCCAATTTACTGCTCGCACATAAGCCGATGGGCGTTGGCGCCACACGCGTTTCAGTCATGTTATTTCCGTATGCAAGAACGCAACATGAAAATGTGAAGGACGACAAAGTGGGTGACTTAAAGCTGTACAGAAACTGCGATTGGAGCACGTCTCTAGGGTGGTTAATGTACTTTCCAGATGTGAGTCTTTGGTGAAACAGACAGCAAGAGCTCCTCAGCTGATGTGCATTAGGCCACTGTGTGTAAACACATACGCCAACATCTGAACTGAACGACCACGGCCTCCTTCAGAACCTCTGCGCTGCTATGCGAACATAGATCTGATATCTTTTTGTATCATTAGGCTTTTGAAAAGCTTATCTTGTCTTGTAAATCTTGTGGAGGACCACATGCTCTGTGGATCTGTGAGCATTTGAGGACCACCATTTGAAAAACATCTTGAAATATTTATATCCAGTGAGTTCGGTGTAGAAAGCACAGCGTAAAATATTGCGAGTACACATCGTAAAACACAACTTTCTGCAGCTTGACCACAGCTGTCCCATGTTTAAAGTCAATATGATGTTATTTGCTAAAATGGGGTCTAAGCAGCTATTTATAGTTTGCGTTATCAAATGGAAATGGAAAGTCATTTCGGAGAAAAAGCAAGTGAAGACAACATAATTTTTGAAATAATTTGCACTTATGAGTCCCTTAAAATAAGATGCATTTATAAAGTAAACGGGGTCAGTTTTGGCTTTAAAGAGTTTAATGGCCATCTATAGAGTGCCACAGTAATGAGTCCTAAAACCCCGAAATGAGTCTATGGGTTATACGAATGAGCTTTTGGTTGAATGCATAAAATAAGGTCTGTGGTTAACACAAGCTCAACATATTTTCACGTTCTGTTCTACAACATAAAATACATCAGTAATACCACACTGATTATTTATCTTGAAAAAGGTGGTTGCTAAACATTGACTAAATGAGTAGAGGTTGTCAGGGACATTAAACATCATCACACAGAGCGAGAAAATACATGTATTTACTGGTCCACTTTTACTGCCTCATTGTGTTTATACTTGTGCTCTTGCAAACTATTCTAACTCACACTTTCCAACTAGTGATGATCCTGAAGTCTAGCAACCAAGGTGTAGTCAGTTTATAGCCTACCTTTAGCTTTTTACTTCTGTTTTAGGTTTCAAAATTCATAATAGTTGTGTTAAACTACTTCAGTCTGTGTGCATTGAATTTATTTAATACACGAGTTTCACAATTTGAGTTGAATTACTGAAATAAATGAACTTTTCCACGACATTCTAATTTATTGAGATGCACCTGTAATATTAAAATGTACTTTTTTTTTTTGTGGAAAAACAGAGCAAAAATCTTGATGACATCCTGCACTACACACCGTCCAATCAAATGATTTCTTGAATAAGAATGTCCTTCCCCCTAATACTACTTGACACTGACTAGGCTGCTTACAAAAATAAGGGACGAGGGCTTCAATATATCCCACCAAAACTTCCAGTTAGACAAAAGTCAGCGCTCAGCGCTCATAAATCAATTCCACTGGGTAACACAATAATTAACACCAATCACCAATAATAAAAAAGGTCACTCATATCATCATTCTGGCCAAATTTGTGCAATCGCACAATATGCGTGAGAGGAAAAGAGGAAAGATGAGACAAACACTTTATTCAGCCCATGCAAAGGACACAGGAAGCATAGCTGAGCAGCCTGAGAGTATTCTCAAGGGAAACACAGCAGATCTGCAATCTCCATAGTGTGCCATTTGTTGTCTGTCTCAAAAACTGACAATCATAGGCCTATATTCATAGCACTTATAGAAAATCTCAGGCTCATGACATATGTCTGGCTAAAAATATAATTTCTCAGCACTAAGCATTCATAAGAGGCATCAGCAGTGCTGAGAAATGATATCCTGCCTAAAACATTAATGCCACATTTCTGTTCTCCACCTCTGATAATTAATTTCTCAACGGTTCAATAAAGGCAAAATGAAAGCATGGGCTCTGCTCTTGAACTGCTGCATGAACACAGGCACATGACTCCTTACACAAAGGCATAAGGATGCTCCATGTGGTTCCAGTAGGAGCTACAGAACAATGTCTTTCCTATTAGGAAACGGCCAGGATCACTTAAATACCGGCTTTTTTTGTTGAGTAGACTCCTAATTTTGTATTTAAATCAATGCACATCTCAGTGTTTGTATGCACAAGGTTTCAACTGCTGTCTATGTGAAGTGTAAGACAGATGTTGAAGCTGTGCTGGTGTAACTGCCTGGAAAGCCCAAGAGGTTATGCCTCAGCTCAGCAGTCTGGCACGTGTTTCAATAATAATTACAATAAGTCCCAAAAATGACTATAAGCAATATCTGACAGCTTATATACATATAAGAGGTCTAATAATAAACGAAAACTGTCTCAAAATCTAATGAGCTGCCTACCTAGACAGAATCGACGTGCCTGTGATGTCTAAAAACGCCGCCTAGATAGGTAGCTCACTACGTGTTGAGACAGCCTTACAGATGCACTGCCCAAACAGAGAGAGACGGAACGCTCTTGAGATACTAACCACAGCAATGGACGTCCTCACCGCCTCCGACACACTTTGTCTGAGCTCCGCAGCCGTTCCAGGTTTGCTCAACCTTTTTGTGAATTTTCTTACTTCGGACATGGTTTTCCCTCTTTAGTTTGACTTAAGAATACATTCCATCAAAGTCCTCATTGCGGAAGGCGACATCTCAGCACGCCAATCTACGCGTCTTACAGAGGTGCGGATGCAGGCGGGGCGGGGCCTCATGGACCAGCGTTAGCTCCGCCCATCACCAGGGCTTGCCTGATATTGAGCAGTCCCTGGCTTTGAATTATTCATTTAAAAGTTTTAGTTTCGTATTTTAGATTTAGAGAGATTCTATGTTATCTTTGGTAATTGTATTCTAATTTTAAGATAAATAATGTGGTTGGTAAATAAACAAATAGTGATGAGTTTTCATTGCTGTGTTCAAGCAACAAAGTGAAAGTCTAGATTTTAGCCATATTTTTGTACTGTTTTTTAAGCTAGCCTGGGTTTTACCAATTCTTTCAACAATAAATCAGCATGTTTCGTACCTGAATACGTGTTCTTGTGAATATGAATATACATTATGATCATTAAAATGATCATAGGCTGACACCTTGTGGTCTTGGCTGGTATTAAAAATGCACACATAAATGCCACAAACGGAAGAAAAGGCATATAAATCATATAAACTTGTTTTTAGGTTTAAAATTATGACATAACCATAAGAAATTATATTGCATATATGCATTGTATTTTCATGTGTACAAAATGCATGCTATATACAGGGTTAGTTATAGATATAAAAAACTACATATATTATTTTATATATACACATACATTTATATTTTACATTCTGTACAGTCCTAGTATTCATCTGACAGCTAGCAAATACATCCACACAGCTGGTTTTAAAGCAGTGGTTCTCAACCTCAAAGCTGGGGTCACTAGGGGTCTCAGCAAACTTCCAGGGGGGCCCCCAATAGCTCTTAAAAATGATATGTAATTATATTCACATAATCCTAAATAAAATAACATTAAACGGTCATATTCATAAGCTCATTCGAGTTCATTTATTATTATCTTTCATTTATTATTAACAGAAGCACCAGAGGTACATAACTTAGAAGGCCTTCAAATATTGGGGGCCTCAGAGTCAAAAACAAAAAAGTTGAGAACCACCGGTTTATAGCATTAGTATGATTCAGAACATGAAGAATGATCACAATAAAATAAAGGCTAAGTTGACATGTGCCATGAAAGATATATTTTAAACATCACTCTGTGTCTCTAGGTCTTTCAGCTACATTTGGTTTTCAGAAGCTGATGAAATTTTCGGCTCAAGCTGGGCCTCCATGGCTTCACGATACTCTTCATATTAACCATAGGACGACCTTTTTTCACATCCTCGTGTCCAACAACAAGATATTCCATTCCTACAGCAAGAGAAAAACAGGCCTATCAGTCAACAAAATGATCAAATTAGCCTAATTTCACTAAACAGGTATCAACAAAGATAGGCCACAGTGTTCATTTAGTCTAAAACACTGCAGATATCCACAGAATTCACCCTTCATTTGCATTGCATTTAATTTGATAATACCTTCATCTAAACAAGGTTCTCTGAGGTCCATTTAGCACATCTGATCGCATTTAAATCCATTCCACAGAATTCAGATCGTTTCCCACAATTAACAGAAATGTGGGAAAAAATGTGCAGATTCCATACGGGCTTACATATTTCACATTATAACAAATTATGAATCTGTGCGCGTATCTGCTAACCTGGGAAAAGTACAGGGCAGGTGCAGCCTCGTGAGGTCCAAGACTCAGGATAAAGAGTTCGATTTCCACGAGAGAGCCTGAGGCGCGAATTATCCCACAATACCTTGAGAACCTTAACATCCACCTCTGCGTGAGAGCCCTTATCATGAGCACCCAACACTCTCACCTTCACTGCTGCAATCACACAAGAAAACACACGTTAATTACATCAACTGAACAGAACATTGAGGTGAAGTGAGTGCACAGCGAGCGTGCTCCGGGCCAGGACTGTTTTATATACTACTTACCATAAACATGTTTTACACTGCAGAATATTTTGCTGCTTCCAAGAGCTTGCTGTTTGCATACACATTTGTCTGTCAAGAAAAGAAATACCCAGCAATTAAAGTATTGGCTGTAAGTTTTTTTCTGTTGCTACAACAACTTAACAACAAGAATGACATTACAACAGCACATGCCTTTAACCCAGACGAGACAATAAACTTTTTATGGGAACAAGACAGTGCTGTTATCAGCTCCAAGATTTCCATGTAATACCTGGATGACTAAGGGCGGAGAAAAGCTCTTCTGTTCGAAACAGATGATTTTCTGCTGTGCTGTTGTGATCTGATTCAAACCTAGACAAGTAATGCACACACATAAAGCAGACACACGCATGGTTATATACAGTATCTATATATAAATGATATTATAATGTCAGCTTTAAAAGAAATGAAAGTGATAAAAAATTGATTTCCATATAAAATTGACATTTATTTTAAATAAAGTAAGCACAAGCACACTTTGAGCAAGAAGTGTCAAAGATGTGTTGAATGCTAAAACATAAACTACTATTTCAAATGAAGACAAATAGCATTTGGTCACTTGTCTAACTCTGATTGTTATTGTGATGAGCTAAACCCGTGTTTGAACTTGAGGTGAACTGCCCTCATAAATTCACAAAAAATCAGAGACCAGCTGGTGAAATTTTATCACTTAATTTGGTATCTGATATATACCAGTGTAGTGTTTATTAATATTTTTAATTAGTTTTTATTTTAATATTTTCAGTTTTCATTTTAAATTTCAGTTTTAGTCATTTTTATTAGTTCATCAGTGTAGCTCGAATTTATTTTTATTTCAGGGTTAGTAATTTTATGCACTTCAACTTATCTCAGTTAGTTGCTAAAGCAACAACTTTAATTAGAATTTTAAATTTTTTCACGTTTACTTTTTTTAAATCTAATATTATTTTTTTATAGGAAATTTATTTGTTTTGTTTTTTTATAATTTTAACCATAAAAACACTGATATTAGGCCATCCTAACTAAAAATAAAAATCACAACTTCACACAACTGATTTCTGATGGATCATGTGACACCGAAGCCTGGAGTATTGCTTTGCATCACAGGAATAAATTACATTTTAAAATATATTAAATAGTAAAACAGTCCTTTTAAATAGTAAGAGCATATTCCAAACTTCTGGATGCCAGGGTATATATATTTTTATCTAATATTTGTTCCATTTAAAGGCACAATATGTAAGATTTTTTTATTAAAATATCCAAAAACCACTAGAACAGTGTTATATATTTTGCCGACTTGTGTACTTACATTATCCCAAATATTTCGAAGAATGTTTCAATCCAGAGAAATAAGTAATTTTAACTAGTGACACGGACCGTGTCCATAGCGTCATTGTGTCGCCTGCCAATGACGTCACAACCCCTCGGTTTCCGTTTTGTAGAAAACATGGAAACACCAACGACGCTTTAATATGTTGTGCGTTTTAATAGACCGGTGACGACAGCACAGAGTAGCATTATAACAGAACTTTCAAATGTATCTAGTATGATAAAACAGCGCTGCTTTACCCCACATACGCACGACCGGAAAGCGCAGAAGCAGTCGACTGTGGCATAATAAAAGCTTCGCTGCTTTCGAGCCGTGTGTTGCGCTCGTTCAGCGGCCTCGTTTCGCTTCGACGCCTCACCCTGCTTCATTCTACTACGTTAATAAATCATTAGCTCATCCATGAACATGATTTCTGCCTGAGTCCCGTCGGATTGCATCGGCTGTGGGGATGAAGACCACAACTCCCATGATTCCACACTCAGGCGTCATCAAACTACACCTTTGCCTCTTTGTTTATTTTGAATACGCGCCCTCTAGCGGCGAAAATTACATATTGTGCCTTTAATTCAGCTTTATTTTAATTATCAAAAATTGTCAAAAGTATTTTTTATACTTTAAGACCACAATAACAACTGTAGATTCTGAAATTCCAAACAGCAAAAAGGTTCATATTCACCCAATCATACAATCTCCTGTGTAAGGGTCACAATCACCAGCACACTGGCAGGGCTTGCAACCATATTCATCGAAACCCCAGTATCCCAGCATGCACTGGTCACAGTGTGGTCCAGCCACGCCCGGCTTACAGACACAGTCTCCATTATCAGGGTTACAATATGTGGAACCAGCATGGTTACACATGCAAGCTGCAATTCAGAAAGGAAGAAAGTTACTCAAAACACACACACATAAGACTGCAAAATATATTAGTACGTTTCTCGCTCTGAAATGAATTTCTCAATGACTCAAAATACATAGAGCTCTCCAGACCACAGACCAGACTGATGCTTTGTGCATGCAGTCAATTATTATGAGCCGAGCTGATGTCATCTGATGATTAGTCTGTCTGCCCCCACATTCACAATATACACGTTAACACTCTTGCTGAGATCCCATCACTGTTCTTGTTATTCTACATGTTCCAACTCGCCGTAAAAGCCATTAGCATTCCGAGCAGGAACAACATTCAATACCAAACATCCCCTCAATGTGTGCACGTGTGTGCGCGCTACAATGTCGGACATGTTCGCTGATCTGGTGAGTTCCAGAATTTTGACATCATCTAGGCCAAGCTGCACACGTAAACAGATACTCAAAAACTCGCACATTTTCATGCACACGCTGAAGAACGATGGAGATCAGGAACGGAAGTGTACAGCAGGGAAATCACAGATACTCCACATGCCATTTTAAGCAGCTTTTCAAAATCTGAGATTAATAGCTTTCATCTTAGTCCAAGACACAAATACACACACACACTAAAAAAATATGACCAAGTACAAGGAACACTGCATCCAATTTTTCCACACTTTGCCAGCTGTTTTGTTACAGTTTAAATCAATAGTGTATAAATGTGCCCATGTTGATCATGTATTTGAATGCTTCCCTACACAACAGCTGTTAGTGTTGCATGATTGTGTCTTACGTCTGCAGGAATCTGGGGCAGTCGTGGGTCTCTCTGGGTCTCTGTAGAAGCCGCTCTGGCAGTGTTGGCAGTGGCGGCCGCTGGTGTTGTGAAGGCAGTCACACACGCCGCCACTCCGCTGACCCGAGCGTAGCCATACGGTTTTGTCAAAGTGACAGCTCTCTGCGTGTCCATTACACTTGCACTCTACACATTGACATGGGA